GGGGTCCCCATATCTTGTAGCAACGATACAACTAAAATTTAAAGTGGCTATCAATTTGTTTTCGATCGAGACTCGGAGGGACAAGTGGCTCAACGAAAAGAAGATCAGTAACTAGACTGAAACCCGTTAGTTCAGAAACATGTAGAGAGCACTGATTAACCAACTTATTAAAAATGAGAACGCCGGCCTCTGCCTTGTACAGCCAGTCCCAGTAATGTTTCCAGGACTTCGCCTTAACAGGGGCTGGGCCAAAATTGCTCGCGTCTACTAGTTCCTGCAAAATTGGGATATTTATTGCAGCCCCGAAGAGCAACAGAATGATTTGCGTGGTTCCTAGGATGAACATAGTCCAACAGGCGACTAACAGAACCTTCTTTCCCGCAGTTTTACGGCGAGAAAGGGTGTAGATCGCCAAGATGAAGAGGTTGATATATATCCCTGTAGATCTAATCAGGTGTGGACGTATGACCGGTAGAAAATGCTTCCACCGTAGAGAACGAGTGCCAGCTACGCCAATTATCAATATTGGACAGTCCTCGGTCGACGTTCTTTTGATATCACGTACACCTGCTGCCAAGAACGTGCCAGTCCATGCGAGATTATATTGGGTGGGGTCGAAGGTGTCTGCTGAATCCATTGAAGTAGTGAGGATAATGGGGGCTCCGATTTGGAGGTAGATGCACAGAGATAGCGTGGTGATTATAATATAAGGCGCCGCGGCTGCGCCGCAGCCCGCTCCAAGATGGTGTAACGGCGCGCCGTGCGCGACGGATCAATGTTTTCATATTACTCAACTTAGCATTCCAACTTAACATTCCTCCCATCATGCAGTCGCTTGGACGACCGCACTTGAGTTCAAGATATTGCATTCGTATCGACATCTCCCCAAGGGCCAACATCTCCCTGCTGTAGTAGTGCTATGTAGATCTATAACAAACTGGCAGTGTAGCAGGTCATAGCCGACACTTGCATTTGCTCAGAGCTACTTGGCTACTTCTCTTAGCAATGTCGCCAATTGGTCGCCAACATCGGCGGTTAAGGACATCGCACGCGTAAATCAGTGATCAGACTCAAGCTTGAACAAATAAAGCGGCAAGTTCCGGGCCGTTTGTTCGGCACAGCTTTTCTTCCAGCACCCATCTCCAGTATTTCGAGGCCTGTCTGGTGGTTGACGATCTTTTCTACCTCTAGGTACGCTCTCTTCACTTTTAGTCACGCAAAGACGAAAACAAGCACCTAACCCGACACTGTGTCGTGCTGCGTTTATGAGCAAGCCATCCGCTCTGTAACCGCGCGACAGGATGAGGGCTGAAAATAATTTGCAACCCGAGCGCTCTTGCTTTCGGAATATCCGTTTGTATGATTTGTGCTGACTTGCCTTACAGAAATCGTGGTTCCAATACGGTAGTCGCCCAAGCACTCGACCTCGAGTACTTGACATTTGGCTGCTTCTCGGGGCAGTCCTGCATTCGCGGATTTGTGTGTACCATACTCTGGTGACAATTAACAATGTACACATTCCACGACGACAATACACCGGGTAGTTGACCATAGGGTAATAATACATATTTTACTTTTTAAATGTTGCCAGTGCCAGCTCCCACTCGATCCGCGCCGCCAGCGAAGTTTCAGCGAGGTCTAGATCCGCATCGTCCGTCACGCCCTTCATCTGCGCCGCGGTATGCAGCGCAGCGAAAAAGCTCGGCAGCACCCACACGACCTTGTCCCTCAGATTCTTTTGATAGATATTGCCCCGCGCGGTCTCGACGCAGATGTGGCCCATGATGGCTTCGACATGCGCGGCGATCCGCGGTTTCGCAATATCCACCGGCGCGCCGTGTGCCACCTCCTGCAGGATCGCGCGCCGCGCGTCCTTGTCGAGCACGCGCCACGACTTGCGGACGCTCGCGTACAGTGTGGTGTGCGCCGTCGTCGGCGCCTCGAGACGCCCCGTGTTCTCTGGCAGCCCGTTGGTGGCCGTGGGCACCACACCCTTGAACGCGTACACCTGCGCCAGATGCGCCGCGCGCGACTTTCGGATAGACTCGGGGTCACAGCCGTCGCCGTCGAAGCGCACGGAGCAGCCAGGGATGCTGCAGCGGAGAACAGACGGGCTGTACGGCGACATGAAGGGCGGGATCGTCTCGGCCGTAACGCGGTAATGGCTCAGGTCGCTCGCCTCCCCGTCCCACAAGGCGGTAAAGAGCGGCACGACGACGGCAGGAGTCAGGTCCTGCGGCTTTGTGATAGCGGTGTGCATGTGGACGTCGGCCTCGGCGGCACGCTGGAAATATCCCTTGGCCATCTGGTGACTGTCTTCAGAGAACAGTCGGAAGGCGATATCTGTGCATAGTGGTGAGTGCCACCGTAAAACCAACTGGTAGAAGACTCACACTGTAAAGCAGAAGCGTACTTCGCTGCCCCCGTGGACCCAATCTGCTCCATTAGCGTCGTCGTACCCGGAAGATCGGACCAAGCAGCCAGGCGTTCGAACACGACACCCGCAGAGTTTATCGCGCGCGCGTTGTCCTCCATGTCCCGCGGCACACCCTCCGCATTGAACTCCGCGAAGACGACCTTGAGGATCTGGCGCTGCACCTCAAGCCTGTTCTCGCCTTCGTTGCCCATTCGCGCCATGTACACAGTGACCATCTCGTGCATCAGTTTCGCTGTGCGCAACATCTCAGGGATCTCCACGCCATCGACCATGCCAAGGAGCTCAAGAAGGATGAGGAAGCCCGGCACTGGATAGCGCACCGTCCAGCTGTAGATACCCTCCTCTGCGAACGTCTTGAGCGTCCACCGCAGCGCCGTGTGGAACGGCACCCACTCGCCCGTCTCGTCGAACGTCTCCCGGCACCACACGTTGGCGATAAGGCTCTTCAGCAACCACAGCATCCCCGCTCGCCGCGCCTGGATCTCCGTGTCGCCCTCGTTCGCCTTTGCCCAGTCCTTGATCTTCATCGTCGTCAAAATCACGCTCATAAGGACTTGCGCCAGCCCCGCCGCGCCGGTCGCGAGCCCGTCCGTGAATACCTTCGCAAGGCAGCTTGTGATGTACGTGCCGTTCACGCCCACGAGCCGCGCGAGCGGGACCACCGCAGCGATCGGCTCGTTATACATCGACCCGCGGTTGGGGTCCATCTGCTGCATCGCCAGCGCACACTGGAAGCACACGTGCTGCGCGCTGAGCACGTCGCGGTTGTGCGCGGCAGCGCCGGCCGCGAGCGGGAAGTTGAGCGCAAAGTCCGTTGTGTTGTTGCCCGGGTTCGAAGAGACTTTGAGCGCGAGCGACATGACGACGTCGTCGGAGCAGCAGATCAGACACGTCGAGCGAAAAGCGTCGACGTTGTCGTCGAGGTCGAGCGTTGCGAGCTGCTGTTCCATGTCCGTGGTGCTCACAACGGCTGCGCGCATGGCCCTGTTCGAGCGGCGGTCCAGGATGTCGGCGCGGTACCCAGCCTTCTCGAGCGCGGTGAGCGCCGCGAGACATCGATTGATCTGGGGGAGGAGCACGGACGGTTGGTTCGCGGCGAGCCGCGACCTGTAGTCTGCGAGATTCGTCTGGTGGGCTGCCCGCAACTTCAGGCGTAAGGCACCTGCACTCGCTGCCGACGAAGGGCCGCTACCAAGCTCGCGCAGCTGCTGCAGGGTCTCACCGGCGCCAGCCACGTCGCGAATCTCGACAACCGTCACGCGCTCTTTTCGCGCTTGCAGCCAATCGCGCAGCTTCCGCAGGAGGCCGCGTGTCTTGCAGATCAGCATAAGCGTACTAAACGCGTCTTCCTCGAAGAGATCCAGTAGATCCTCCTGCGAGATGCTCTGTGGGTGCATTTCCGCAAGGAGCAGGTCAACATCTATGAGGCACTGGTGCTTTGCCTGCCAAGCTCTGCCGAGATCGAGAGCGGCGCTGCCCGTGCGATGTGCCGCACCGACGATGTTGACGTCCTTGAGCGCAGTTCTCAACGCGTCTTCAGTCGAGAAGTGGGGCAATGAAGTCCAGTCGTCGAGGTCGAGTGCAAACCCGGAAGTGAGCGTCTCAAACGCACCCTTGGCCGCCAAGACATGGATTTCACCGTCGCCAGTATTCTTGAAGATGATGGCCGCATCGGAAGCGGACGCGAAGACGGAGACGCCAACGGATATGTCTACGGTCGAGGGTTTGGCACCGGCTCTGTTTGTGATCACGAAAACCACTGGCGCGTTCGCCATCCCAACTTCTATCGTCCGTCTCGCAAAGTTGACAGGGCTGGGAACCTCCCCGTCGGTGAGAAGGTACCACATATCGCACTGCTTGAGTTCATTCACAACAGTGTCGTTTGAAAAAATTAGTTCAGGGTAGGTTCCCCAGCTAGAAAGAGTAGTTAGCTCAGAGTGCGGGACACAGAATGTACGGGCTCACTTGCGATGCCTCCAGCTCGTTTCTGCAGCCGACGCCGGGAGCGTCACGTCGCTCCCCCACATAACAACAGACGCAGGGGGCTGGTGGTCTCGTGTCATGCGCACGACGAACTCCTGCTGCCTCTCCATGACCCGTCCTGCCGTAGAACCCGAGGCGTCAACGGCGAACGCAATTCTGGACGCCAGCAGCGGTATTTCCGGCAAATCGGCTGTCTCAGCGTTGGACTGCTTCCATGAGGTTGTAGAATTAGACATGGGAGTGACTTTGGGGTGCGGGTGGGCGCGGGGCTCTTTTATGCAAAGTTGAATTTCAAACATCGACTCCCGACCAGTCGAAACGAGTCACTCCTGATGCTGATTGACGCATCGACAATGACAGTGACTCGAGATACGTAGATACGGAGGCGCGCGCGTTGCGTTTCATGGACTCGATGGGGAGGCCGAGTGAAGCATCGGAAGCACTAGCTGGTACCGCGATGTAGAGCGTCTCGGGCGCGCTGTGAGAGGGATGGAAGACGAAGCAATGCCTAGGCCTTGTAGTAGCCTTGTAGTGTTCGCGAGGCAGTGGCAAGGCGCAAGTATCGCGGTGCAAAAACAATTGCCCACTACCCGAGTTGAACGAGTGATCTTGGCATATGAAGTAAATACAAGTGCCACGCTGTAACCACTTAGCCAAGAGGGCGTTGTATGCTGTGCCCAAACAAGTCCCTTTGACTCTAATCCTTTCCTTCCGAAATAATTGACAAAGCTAAGCTCTGGCGGGACCCCAAACTCATAATAAATGAACATCGGGTCACAACTATCATTCGTGCAGCATGGAGTGTAAGTACAGTGCATTGGTCGTGGTACGGTCAGAAAAAAACGACTACATCGCGCTCCCACTCTCGACGAGCTTGCCGCAGATGATGTACTTGTTGGAAAAGTGGTCGATCCAGCCTGCATGAATAAAGCCAAAAGACTCGTCGTTGATAGAAGCGGACGAACCTCGCATGTTCTCTCTGGCAGCCGAGAATTTGAGTGAGCATGGCGGTTACGATTGCAAGGGAATCGGGCGGACGACGTACATCTCATCCTGTTGCAGGTCATTGAGCTTGTCGAGGGGTTGGTCCACGGGAGTCAGCATTTCTGCGAGCGAGTGAGCAAGCGAATGAGCCGAGCCGGGCACAGAGCCTCGACAGGGCCAGTCAGTCCACGCACCAACGTCAAACGACTGCTTCGCCATGCCCCGCGATGCGTCCCGCCCCGCAAAGTTGCCGTACATCCCATCTGCTGGTCATGAGCACCATTCAAGGGAAGCGGAACCGACGAGCGGCGGGCGCACTGGGTCCGTAAAAATTCCGCCCCGCCGTAACGTCAAACACAATCCCCTTGATCGCGAGCAAGATGCGCCCGCCATCCTTCCCGTTGAACGGCTCCAGCGTGTGGGGCGTGTATGTCTTGAACAGGACCGTCGGCGGGTGCGCCTTGGGGAGCCAGGAGTATCCGGATTTGAACTCGCGCGGGAGGTCTTGTGCTGTTTTGGGTTTTGGAGGGACGCTGGGAAAGACGATGCGCTGCACAGAGTAGAGGATGAAGAGGAAGAGCGCGGTGTTGACTGGCGTGCCGAGGTGCAGAGTGAAGGCCATGGTCAAGTTATTGGTCACTGCCTCACGTGGAATCTCCTCCGGATCCGCTCTTCATCCTTCATGATACTACTGAGTACGCCGCCTATTCCGCATCCCCGCCCTAAACTTAAAACTAAACATTGTCAGACTCTCAATACGCGGCGACGCCAACGGCTAGCAGCAGCAATGGCTCTGTCCCCGGTGAACACCTCCCTGAGTATACCAGTACTCTTCTCCGTCGCTCACCTCCCGGGGTACGCTGACCTCCGCGCCAGCTACGTGACCTCAAACCGCACGCAGCCCCCGCGCTATTCGCGCGTGCGGCGGCCCAAGCTGCCCCTCACGTACACCTTCACGCAGCCAGGATTCGGGAACGACGCGGGCGCGGTGCTGATGGTCCCTCCAGCGGAGTCGGACGACCAGAGCCGCTATCGCATCGCCGTGACCCTGAACCTCAACCCCTTCGTCCCCATCTCGTACCGCACGTCTATCCACCGGGTAGAAAGCGATCAAGAGCTGTTCATCGGCGACTTTGAGTATGTCGACGACACGACGGGTTTCTCGCTTAACGCGCGCTGCGCAGGCTCTCGCTGAATCACTGTCGCGCCATAATAACAGTGGGCGACATAACGACGCGGCTCGCCAACGTGCTGTACAGCATAAACTCGTCTTCCGTTTGTACTCCACGCTTTCTTGTCGCGCTGTCGCTCACAAAGCCTTGCACAATAGAGACACTGGACCTGGCGATGGGAAGATGTCGGCCTGCGGTGGGACTGCGGCTCGCGGCTCGAGGATGGCTCACCCTTGTGCATTGTGAATGGCTTTTGTCTCTGCGCGCGCGTATGGAGAATTCTGATGCGTTTGTATCGGACAGTGTTATACAGTCGCATCGACGGTGCAGCTGGCGTCGTTTGTGCCCCCGCCCTTGGATGCGCCGCCGCCGCTGCCAGAAGCGGTGTTGACGATATTCCCGGACGGACACGAGTGCTTTGACCATATCCTCCTGTCTGCGTTGATAGTCCAACGCAAGATGGGGCTGGAATATTGATGTTGTATGCTTATGTCAGAAGATAAGATTAGATCTACTCTACGACAATTGAGGTGTGACAATAACAATCTCTCTTCAAGCGGCCTCGTTTAACGGTGCCCGGTTCGCTCATACCTTTCATAATTACGATCGAAGATTCATTCTGGAAGACAATTGCTGCCGGCTGCCCAAATGGGATACTATCTACAATTGAAGGGTTGGCCCGAATGCGGACCCGCTGCTCCAAACTATTATATCTGCAACACAAGACGGACAATGTTCTCCACCTTATTGTATCAAAACTCTATAAATCTGACCCAGCGGACACTCGACTGCACAATCTTGTCTTGGACTACTACGCTAGCTCTCTCCTCATGCAACCCCACTCCGAGTCCGACTCTGTACGCGCTGGACCCTCCAGCATCCAGCTTCCCCGCACCCTCGGACGGCCGCCCGTCTCAAAGGTCTCGCGCGCCGCTCTGCTTGCCGCCTCTCCAGATCTCGGCCACCTCTCCGTCGACGATATCCGCAAAACTCTGCTCGAGAATGCGTCCCAGTAAGCCATCTTCACCTGGTGACCTATGTACACCATCGCTCATCGCATCCACGACAGAATGCTTGCGAGCACCTCCGCACTCTCGCCCTCCCACCTCCCGGCCGCACTCCCAAAGGACTGTCTCCCGCCCTACCTCACCGTCCCAGTGCTCCCCGACCGCCACTGTCCCTGCCCGTCGTTCCCCACGCACATCCTTGCCGTCTCCACTGCGCGCGCATCCGCATCCGCATCGAGCCCGAGCGCCGCCACCGACATACACCTCATCTTCCCCATCCACGCCCCCATCCTCGCCGCGCACTGCTCCAAGCTCCCCGTCCTTCCGACCCGGGCCCCGCGCGCGCGCCCCGACACATCCGCCGCCGCCGCCGTGAGCGTGCACCTCCCCGTCCTCCCGCTCGCGCTCCCCTCCGCGCCCGCCTTCGCCGTGCTCCTCGGCTGGATGTACACGCGCCGCCTCGGCGCCGTCCTCTCCGCGCTCCTCGCGTTCCCCGCCTCCGACCCGTTCCTGCGCCGCCTCGAGCTCACCCTCACCCCCAAGGCCGTGCGCGCCGCGCTCGCCTCCCGCTCCGACCGCCACGCGCTCGCAGCGCACGTCTGCGCCGCCGCGGCCGGGGACGTGGCCGGGGACGTGGCAGAGCTCATGACGCACACCGCCCATGTGAAGGAGCTCTGGCAGGACATGGTCGCCCTCGGCATCGACGACGACGCTCTCTGGGACACGCTCCAGCTCGCGTACGAGATTGTGCTCGGCGCGCTTAACCTTGCTGTTCTGCCAAAATGACGGCATTGCTAGACGTTTTCGTATTGCTGTTTTTGTTCTTGTCGCTTGATGCGCCGTTTTTGTGATAACAAGAATAGAACAAGGCCATTGTAATATACCTCACATATTTACGCACGTACAGTAGTATTGTTACATTTTATGCAGTCGATCAAATATCAAACGCACTGCTCCTCCACCCCGCGCTCTTCCTCTCAGCCGCCTCCCTTTCCTCGACGCTCCGCTGGAACGAGCGTATCTGCCTGCTCCCCTCCTTAACCAACCCCTGCAGCTGCGTCTTCACACCCTGCATACCCTCTTTAGCCGCGTTCTTAGCCCCCTCTGCATTCGGGGGTCTACCCGCCACGGCCTCGACCGCCGCTCCAACGCGCTTCTCCACGCTTTCCGATCCTGTGCCCATCGGCCCGCGCTTCTCCCCGCTCAACACCTGCGGCTCCACGCCCACCGCCATCTTTGCGCCGCCCGCGCCGGTGCCGCACTCCGGCATCTCGAGCATCACGCCCGTCCCCGTCGCCGTTGCACGCCACCCGCCGCGCTGCTCGCGCCGTAGGCGCCCGAGTTCCGACCACACCGCCGCCGCGAGCGCCGCGCCGCGCCCGGCCCCCGCGTCCTCAAACACTGTCGCGCGCTGTCCCACGTCCCACGCGAGCGCGCCGAGCTCGTCCAGCGCCGCGCGCAGGTGCGCGCCCAACGCGCGCCCGAGCGCCGCGCGGACGCGCATGTCGAAGACGGGTTTGAACACTGTGAGCACCACCGCGTGGTTGCTCTCGCGCACGTGCACCTGGACGTCCTCCGAGATCTGCACCTCCAGTAGCTCGGTCTCGTGGTACGTCCGCCGCTTGGCGCGCTCCTCAGCGGACGAGATGGACCGCACCTTGAGGTCGATGTCGATGCCATGCGGCGGCATCGTGAGCTCCAGCAGCCCCGTGAATTCGCTCGGCGGCAACGTGGCGGTCTTGTCATTGTAATAAAATGAGACGTTGCGCAACGCAAGCTGCACCGCCTGCAGCCGGATGTGCACGAACGAACCAAAGCCAGTGGTCGTTTCCGCAGTGGCGGAGGTGCGCACGTCGACGTCGGTGATGTTCCGGATGAAGATGTGTGCGGGGTTGATGCCAATATTGGAAATGTCGAGGTTCTCGAGGACAAGTTCCATGTCGTTGTCGACGTACTCCGTGCGCGGAATGGGAACGTCCTTGAGCATGGCGAGGACACGCGGTGCATACACGGAAAACATGTCGCGCCAGAACCACGCCGCCCGCTCAAGAACGGCCTGCGCACCAGTGCTTGCTTCTTCGCCCGCTTCCACAAGCCCGCGCTCGACATCTTCACCGAGGTGCACGTGCGCTGCGCGCACGCGCTCGATGTCCGCATCCGCCGCCAGCGCGGCCCAAAAGGTGCGCACCACCCCTTTCAGCTCAGCCCAGGCGCGACCCGCGTCCGTGTCAGTGCCGAGAAGCTCTTGGCCCTGCTGACGCAGGGAACGACGCACGCCGCGGGCCTCCTCCGAGCGAGGATACTTCGGGTCATCGAGGCTGCGATGAGCGTGCTCGAAGAATTTGTCCACCCACGCCTTGACTCGGACTGACTCACTGCGCGCCGCGCGTACAAAGCGATGTGCCTTGTCGAGGACGGCGTCGACGGAGCACTCCGGGTTGGCGAACCGGTCGAGGAGCGTCTTCAACGCATCGAGGGCTTTGCGGACATGTTGCTCGGG